AGGTATCTGTCGACATATATCGATATGTAGGACAGATCTAGGTATCTGTCGACATATATCGATGTGTAGGACAGATCTAGGTATCTGTCGACATATATCGATGTGTAGGACAGATCTAGGTAGTTCTCGACATATATCGATGTGTAGGACAGATCTAGGTATCTGTCGACATATATCGATGTGTAGGACAGATCTAGGTAGTTCTCGACATATATCGATGTGTAGGACAGATCTAGGTAGTTCTCGACATATATCGATGTGTAGGACAGATCTAGGTAGTTCTCGACATATATCGATGTATAGGACAGATCTAGGTAACTGTCGATGTATATCAACGTGTAGGACAGATCCAGGTAGCTGTCCTGTCCATGTATATTGATGTGTAGGACAGATCTAGGTAGCTGTCCTGTCCATGTATATTGATGTGTGTGACAGATCTTGGTAGCTGTCCTGTCCATGTATATCGACGTGTAGGACAGATCTAGGTAGCTGTCCTGTCCATGTATATTGATTTGTGTGACAGATCTAGGTAGCTGTCCTGTCCATGTATGTCGATGTGTGTGGCAGATGTAGGTAGTTATTTTCCACATTCACATAAGATGTAAAATTATATTTTTTATTTCATATCTGTATCTTTGTCATCGTGTTTACCCAAGAAATAAGAACAGGAATTTTTGTGATTTCATTAATTCTTTCAATATTCACAAGGAATTGATAGATAATTTAAGGAGTAAGTTTTTAGAGTGTTTCAAATTGCAGAATTTAATTTTGAAGTATGTTTACGGGGCAAAAATCTAGGTTAATCCAGGCTAGCAAGGAAATGTTGCATGTTGACTACATAACTTAATGTTAGAAAGGAACGTGTTGTATGTTGGCTACATTAATCAAGGTTAGCAAGAAATGTTGCAAGTTAACTATATTAATAAAAGTTAGAAAATATATTGCATGTTGACTACATAACTTAATGTTAGAAAGGAACATGTTGCATGTTGGCTACATTGATTTAACCAAATATTAATGTTCTCCTATGTACCTCAATAACATCTTCTCATTAATGTTTTTTTTTGTAGTTACATGTTTCTTTTCTCTAAATGCTAGTTATATGTTTATATTTTCTAGATTTGCTAGTATTTCCTATTTTTGGCTTATTACATGTTTATATTTCTAAATTTTAGTTACAAGCACATACTTTGTATAATTTTTAGTTACATGTTTATATTATCTATATTTGATTGCGTGCTTGTGTTTTCTAGGTTTGGTTTAATACACGTTTATATTTTCCAGATTTGATTATGCTTATATATTAATTTAATACATGTTTGTATTTTCTTGATTCATATTGTTTAAATTTCCTAGATTTTGTTTAATAAGCGTGTATATTTACAAAATCTGGTCGTGTAAATGTTATAGGTTTCTGTTTTATTCTCAGCTTCCTCACCATTTGATGAGATGCACTTGCTTCCAGAACCACTGTATACTCTTCCCACAGACAACACCCTCATCCAGACAATTGCTGGAGCAGATAATGGGCGTATTTTCTTGGGTGGAAAAGATGGTTGCTTGCATGAGTTGGTTTACCAGGTAAGCACTTGTTTCTATACTCAGTGTTCCTATTATTTCTTTGAGCTGGTTTACCAGGTAAGCACTTGTTTCTACACTCAGTGTTCCTGCTATTTCTTTCAGCATAGAATACAGAAGTAGAATAACTTTTTTAAAGTACATGCTGTTATTCTAGTATTAATTGCCAAATATCTCATGATATTTGGTCATTAACAATCAGTAAGAATAATTTAGTGATCAACTTTCAGATTAATGATTTGATTTTATATATCATTCACTATTGGTGGGGTCCGTATATTACTTGTATCGTTCACTATTGGTGGGGTCCATATATTACTTGTATCGTTCACTATTGGTGGGGTCCGTATATTACTTATATCATTCACTATTGGTGGGGTCTGTATATTACTTGTATCGTTCACTATTGGTGGGGTCCGTATATTGTTATCGTTCACTATTGGTGGGTTCCGTATATTGCTTGTATCGTTCACTATTGGTGGGGTCCGTATATTACTTATATCATTCACTATTGGTGGGGTCCGTATATTACTTGTATCGTTCACTATTGGTGGGGTCCGTATATTACTTGTATCGTTCACTGTTGGTGGGTTCCGTGTATTACTTGTATCGTTCACTATTGGTGGGGTCCATATATTACTTGTATTGTCCACTATTGGTGGGGTCCATATATTACTTGTATTGTTCACTATTGGTGGGGTGTGTATATTACTTAATTTTAGGTGCTGTGCCATTGAGTCATACTTAATAGTTAACCTTTGAATTACTAATTTGTTATTACATTAAATCAGTTTGTGCCATTCAGAAGAATTCCCTGAAATGGTCTTTCATTGTGTTTGTGTTCAGTATGATTGAACTTTAAGGACATCTAACATAGTTGTTGTTTCTACATTTTTCAGTTGGAAAATATTTTCTACTTTTAAAAAATTTGATATTTACTGTGTCCAGACATTTACTCATTTTGAATTTAAAACTGATATCAAGATGTTGATTTTTCAGGCTGAAGATGGCTGGTTTAGGAGGAAATGCAAGAAAGTGAATCACTCGAGCAGTTCTCTTTCATTCTTAGTTCCATCATTTCTGAATTTTGCCTTTTCTGAAGAAGGTTTTATCTCATTTTTAAAATTTTTTCTATTGTTTGAAATGTTAATCTGATGTTATAGAAATATTTAATCACCTTTTTACCTGATTCTATAAAATCTTGTAAAGGTTATTTTGAACACAAATCATGACATATAATTTTCAGTTTTGTTTAATACTTTATATGATAGTTAGATTTATATGAGTTAGATTTAAGTATACTGAATCTTGTTATTAATGTCTTACATATGTGGCATGTCTGGAACTATGGATAAAACTGCTTTATTTCATGTAATTAGCTGCAAGATATAATTTTTTTTCTCACCGTTTTTAGTCTATGATATATTTGTCACAGAACTGTATATTCCTTATTCAAACAGCTTTGATAAAAGATCTATCATGGTAAGCTGTATTAAGGAATTTCTAAATATCACAGTATATTACTCATTGACATTAATAGTTATCTTTGTCTCTGTTGTGTTAGAAAGTTCTAAATACTATGCTATAGTAATCTGTGTCATTGTTGCCCCAAATAACACTATTATCTGTTAACATTAAGTACTCTGTGTCATTGTTAGGTTGTGTTCAGAAAGCCTCAAATAACACTATTATTTGTTAACATTATTAGTAATTGTGTCATGGTAAGGTTGTGTTAAGAAAGCCTCAAATAACACTATTATTTGTTAACATTAAAGTAATCTGTGTCATTGTAAGGTTGTGTTAAGAAAGCCTGAAATAACGCTATTATTTGTTGACATTATTAGTAATCTTTAAGAAAGTCCTAAGTAACACTGTATTGTTTTTAACATTAAAGTAATCTGTGTCATTGTTAGTGTGTATTAAGAAAGCCCCAAATAACACTGTATTATTTGTTGACGTTATTAGTAATTGAGTCATTGTTGTATTAAGAAGGCCCTAAATAACACTGTGTATTATATGTTGACGTTATTAGTAATTGAGTCATTGTTGTATTAAGAAGGCCCTAAATAACACTGTGTATTATATGTTGACATTAAAGTAATCTGTGTCATTGTTAGTTTGTATTAAGAAAGTCCTAAGTAACACTGTATTATTTTTTGACATTATTAGTAATCTGTAAGAAAGTCCTAAGTAACACTGTATTGTTTTTGACATTAAAGTAATCTGTGTCATTGTTAGTGTGTATTAAGAAAGCCCCAAATAACACTGTATTATTTGTTGACATTATTAGTAATTGAGTCATTGTTGTATTAAGAAGGCCCTAAATAACACTGTGTATTATATGTTGACATTAAAGTAATCTGGTCATGGTTAAGTTGTTACAATGTTCTACTCTTTTCATTGCTAGATCCAATTGTTCAGATAGAGATTGATAACAGTAGACACGTACTTTATACACGGTCTGACAGAGGAACAATACAAGTAAGTCTTTATTTTTCTAGTATCACAGACCTTTTTAATGGACTTCTTACGAAATAACCCTCTCCAGAAGGGTCAACGGCTATGTCATCGCTGTTTTTTTTAACTCACATTCAAAATTATATTGAACTACTATTTCATGAATTTATGTATTATTTGTATCAATAAGTTTGGTATTAAACTGTAGATTATAATTCAAATTTTAGGATTATACATTATATAATTCTTTAATTTAAAAGTCAATATTAGAAAAACACAGTTAAACATTGATTTTTGTGTGTGTCACATGATATGTTGAATGCAGCACTGGTTCAAATTAGAATACTAAGTCTATAGTTTCGTATTAATTATGAACTCAAATTACCGATATTGACAAGCTAGAATATAAAATAAGAACCTCATATCTTTTCTATTTGCTGAAATATCTATCACTCGTACTGAATCAAACACAGTGGCACTGCTCACCTCTTTCCATTTTTGGAAACGGTCCCTTATATACACTTACTTCAATATATGATGTGAATAACTAATTGAAAGTACTGAATGTCCCTCTAGTGGCTTTCTAAGTCATTTTCATGTGTTAGGATGCCATCTCATTCTTTCCAACCAAGATTTCAAGGAAGTTGGTTGTGTCTACTTGAAATTTGATATTTTTTTAAACCCAAGTACAGTTAGTTACTAAGCTTGATAAATTATAGTGGAATTATATGGTATAAATATAGTAATTTATCAATTTTTGGTTCTTTAACTGTATATATAAAACCTAAGAAAAAAGTACTTTGTTTCATATCCTCCACGTGCAAAATGTTTAAACTTATGTGAAGCAGCAACTGAGTATAAATTTCATAACTAGAAGAGATAATTGTTTACTTTATTTCTTTATTTACTGTTCTATGTTTTAAGAAAAATAAGTTTAAGAAAGGTCAGTTTTATATTATTGGATACTGTAACATGAGAGCACGTATTGTAACTTCTGTAATGTTAGCCAGGCAGAGCTGAAAGGTCAATATAATAAAAATATTAAATATATATAAATGTATAATGTTATGAGATTTAAGCTATTTAGTCTAAAAATTTATGTTTTCATGTTATAATATGTTGACATTCTAGAACAAACGTCATAACTTATATCTATTTCCTCATTTTTTATGGTGGTAACAATATCGGTCAAATCTACTGAACTCATACAGGGATTCATTAGTGTAAATAACAGATAAAATGTAAAGTTTTTTCTTAAGAAACATTTGATAACTATCTAGACATTATTAAGATTTTGCATGTGAAATTTGAAAATTTTCTGATGCATAAAAGTATTTTTAATCTTAAAATGAATATTACTTTGCATAATAGATAGGCAACATGCGAAAAGAAAAAGAGGCATGAGAAAACATTACTTAACAAACCTTAAGACTTAATAAAAAAAATTTTATTTTGCGTATGAAAGCATTATTTTTACTAATAATCTGCCAGATTTCATTAACATATGCTTGCTAATTTAAAAGTTATAGCAAGAAAACTATAACAAGCACAAAATTGTTACAAGGTCAGTCCCAGGAACCGAGCCCATGCTGAAAGAGTTAATCTTTCAGTGTGCTGGGAAATTTGTAATGACTTAGTGCTGCTTTGGTTGTTGCTAGTAGTTAATATGATATTTTTGCATTTAATTAGGTTGAAAAGATTGTTTACTGTATATAGATTAACTTGTTTCTTCTTTTTGATTTTTAACTTATGTTAAACATTGTTAAAGGTCTTTGATCTCGGTGCTGATGGAAAGCAGATGACAAAAGTTATAGCTGTTTCTCAAAACTCCATTGTTCAGCAGGCTGTCAACATAGCTAAGTGTGTAGTATTGGTTTTAACAAATTTATTATCATTATGTAATGAACATTAAATATATATAACAAGTATAATAAAATGTTCTACTTCACATAGGTTTATATAGTACATTTTAAAACCTAATTTCATTAACAAACTGTAACCTAAACAAAATAGTGCTTAATATAAAATGATTTCAAATTTACATGACATTACCACATGATGGTGGAATTACTGCTAGTTCGAGAATTGAAATATTAATTTCGTAGTTCATACTTTTTATTCAGTCATTAATAGAAAGAATAGAACTTGTTTAATCTTAACACAATTCAGAAAACTTTATTCCAAAATAAAAGAACATGATTTTATTAATTAAGAAAACATAATATTCAGAAGCCGTAGAAGTTCTGGTGAAGTTTTTAAAATGATAACTAATTGTTTATGTCCTGCCATCTGTGGTGATTATTGGGCTTTATAGAAAGAAATGATGAACAAGCATCCAAGTTCCTTTACAGCAGTTCTTCAATAAAGTAACAGTTACAAACTTGTAGCATAGAATCACTTGATTAAATTATGATTCTGTTAACTTAGGTTTTACATTTACCATGGTAACTTTACATAAAAATTGTTGCTGAGGTATGAATTTTTTCAACTTGTGTTAATACTGGGATATTCCTCAGACTTCATTATCCGTATCAAAGCTTCTTAGATAAGCAGCTGATGTAGTAAACATGAAAAGGTTGTAATTTGTTTTTCTTTTGCAGGACAATTGATAGGTCCAATTTTCGACCAGTGGTTCATATTAGTGCTCTGGACATTGTAGAGTCAGTTCACATCAATTTGGTAGCAGTCACACAGTCAGGTAAAGAAACAAAAACAGGTTTCCAAGCAAACATTGACCTACCAAATCTGTATATTTACTTATTCTTGGCTTTATAATAATATCAGTGTTTTGTTAGGAAACCAGGTTTTGAAAAACTTGTTTATTGTTGGATAAACTGATTATTATTTTTATGGTTACATTGTTTCACCAGGTTAACCAGGCACCATCAGGTACATCAAGTAATATTCTGTTTAACACTTTCCATATGGGGTCAATCGATGTGACGAACCTTGTAACTACAAAGTAACCATCAGAATTTCCAGACTATGACTCTTAATCCTCTCCACACAGGTCAAAGGCCGTGTCATTGTGTTTGTTGACTCGCATTCACAAGTTTAATGAACTACTATTTTATGAATTTATGTCAATAAGTTTGGTATCAAACTGTATATTATAGTTCAGATTTTAGTATTATACATTATTTAATTTCTTAATTTAAAAGTAAATATTAAAAGAACACACCTAAACATCGATTTTTTTTTGTCACATGATATGTTGAATGCAGCACTGGTTCACATTAGATGTTTGTGATGTCAAAATACGAAGTCTGTAGTTTCGTACAAATTAGGAACTCAAATTTGAACTTTTTCCACTCAAATTACTTTAAATTTTATACACATCTCGTACACTTACTGTGACACAAGTACTGTCCACTTGTAAACTAGCAGCACACTATGTTTAACCACACTTACTGTGACACAAGTACTGTCCACTTGTAAACTAGCAGCACATTATGTTTAACCACACTTACTGTGACACAAGTACTGTCCCTTGTGTCACAGTAAGTGTGGTTAAACATAGTGTGCTGCTAGTTTACAAGTGTACTGTCCACTTGTAAACTAGCAGCACACTATGTTTAACCACACTTACTGTGACACAAGTACTGTCCACTTGTAAACAGCATATTGAAAAATGTCAAATGCTGGATCTAGCTGGAAAGTAAGTTAGCTTTAAATACTCAAAAGACTTGCATGGAAACAGTTTACAATAAATAACTTTAGTTGAAATTTATAATAAACGATAGTTGAAATAATTTTGTTGGATGTTTATTGTTAATTCCTAATAATATGCATTTTTTGAAATGTAGTAAGTTGAATATTCCTATACTTTAAAGGTAACTTTTAATATACAAACTTATTATTAATATTTTCATGGCTAGGTGTTTAAAAATATATGTAACTTTTGAATATGCAAACGTTTTTTGATAGCCTTAGCTGGAAGAACACTGTAGTATGATTTTTTTAGATATAGATATAACTTTCTGAAATTGCAACTTCCTTTTATTGATAAATTTCTTTCATTTTTAGGGGTGAGATTTTATTTCACTGCTACAGCACTGATCCATCCCGAAGCCAGGCCTTTTACTTTATCTCTCTTACATGTTCGTCTTCCTCCTGGATTCTCGGCAAATGCTCCTTTACAACGGCCAAGTCACGTTCACATGGCCCATTACAGAAAAGGTGCTTCTTTCATATTTTGTATTTTAATTCTTTGTACACAAGGTTGGTGGATTATACTGACATTGTAACCATCAGTGTTTCCATACTATAACTTGTAATTTTGGTATCTTCACCAAATTTGGCAATCTTTCAGTACACAAAAAACCAGGTTTTTTAGTTAAATATTTTTTTTTAAGATTTTTTCTGAATATATGGAGTCAAAGTATTGACTGCTTTGAGTGCAAGAGATTTTGATGGTAAGATCAAAAACACTTTTCATCATCTGAAAATTTCCAATTTTATTTGTGTGTATCATATAAAACCTAAATAAATATCCAAAGTTTTTATACAATAAAATTTTATATTTCATATGTTATTTTTTATACCCTAACTCTGAATGGATTCAGTCAATTTGACTGATCTTGTAACCACCATGAAAAAAATAAGAAATAAATCTAAATTACCCTTTTTTTCTTTCTGGAATGACTGCAAGTTGTAACAGGAAATGACACTTGTTTATTCTAAAGAACTTAAAGCTCATAACAGTGTATATATATATATATATATATATGTTTGTACTTAAATTTTATTATTTTATTGCCCTTTGAACTGTGTCTAACTTATAATCCTGCCATACAAGTTGTAAATCTCTTAGCAAATGCATTGCTCAAGTTACTGTATTGATTACATAATGTACGAGCTACTCGAGAACATATATTGTGAAGAATTATTATTTTTTATTATCTAGCCTAATCTGTTTCTAATTTGTACATTTTAGTTACTTTTATAACTATAAGTTAAAATAGACACGAAAAACAAGAACTGTTGTACTTATCTTTGACCTAATTTTTTTGCTGTCAGTTACCAATGATATTTAAGCCTAATTGTTTGATACTTAAATAATTCACTTAAGAACACAGAATAATAATACACACAAAGCAAACAATGTTCTATAACTATTATAATTTAACTGGCTTTCTAACTATGGCATAAGAGCCTTATAAAAATTCCCTAAACTTCTCAATCTGAACACTGCAATAGAAACTGAAAACAAAACAGACAGTACTTTCTATACCGAAAACAATGATATTTGATAGATTAAAACTGTTTTTATTGGTTATAAATCATATAAAACATCAGAGAGAATTACTGGAAATTTATGAAAGAGGATATGACAGGTGGGCGTGGCATGTGGGTCTCATTTTCTTGCTTATGACTCCATAAGCAAATAAGATTGAAGGCTATAAAAATTAAAATTTGCTCTAGTAATATCTACATTAAATTCCTTATGTCTTGGAGGGATAGTAAATAAGATTTAAAGAACAAATATCACAATTCTCACACTAGGGGGAATTAAGGATTTTTTCAATATTTTCTTATAAAATTAAGAACTTAAAATTTGATGTATTAACTACATTTATCTACTTTTTGCATGTTATTAGTCTATATTTATGGTGCTTTAGTTAATTAAATAAGAATTAAGTTCAATACTATCATGAGAATAAAAAATTAGGGTTAACTCTCTTCAAAAACCGACAGAAAGAAAAAAAAAGATTGTTTAAGTATTTTATTTCTTATGTTTATTCTTTATGTATAATTATAAAAGTAACTGAAATGTAAAAATTAAGGATCCTTTTAAATTAGTTAAGATTAGATTATGTAAAATAAATAATAATGTTTCATGAGGCACACACACACGAGCATCTCGTAGTAGCTCGTGGGTAATGTAATTCATCAGTGTAACGTGAGCTGCACGTTCCCTGAGTGATTTACAACTTATAATGGCATGGATAGTAGTTATACACAGTTTTAAGGGCAATAAAACAATAAAATTTAATTATAAACAGATGAATACTGTTATGAACTTAAGATAAATGAATGTAGTTTCATGTTACAATTGGAAGTCATTCTAGAAAGAAAAAAAAGGTAATTTAGATTTAGTTTTTTTTTTCTTCTTGGTGGTTATGAAGTTGGTCAAACTGACCGATTCTGTTTAGAGATAGTGTAGCGAAAATAACAGATAAACTACAAAGTTTTACTGAAAAAAAAAGTTTGAAATGCATTTAGGAGGTTTTAGGGATTACACAAAGGAAATTTGACATGAGGAAAAGTATTTTTCATTTCAATAACAAAATTACTTTGCACATGGACTGTTCAGAATAAATACTCAATATATTCATGGACAAATCTTTATTTTATTAAAAATACTTCACTAAAAATATGATTTTTTGTATGTGAAAGACTTACAATATTTACTGGAAGACTGTCAAATTGTGGGAAGATATACACACTATATTGAAAGTTAGAAGTATTAAATCTATAAAACTTTAAACTAATACAAAGAGGTCACGTGGTCAGTTTAAACTAGTACAAAGAGGTCACGTGGTCAGTCAAGCCCGTGTTAGGAGAGTTAATTTCAGCTTTTAGTTCTCGGCCAGTTAGTTTCAACGTTGAGTAAATGACTGATATTTTCTAGTTCTAATTTCTTTTGTAATCGTATTAATCTATTTTTATATTCTGAACAGGCTGCGCATTATTGGCATCATCTCAGACTGAAGACAGTGATGTTATGTGGGCCATGAGTAATGACTCTTTTCCATTTCAGTCACAACTGATGGAACTTCATGTGAGCTATTATGTTATCTCTATTCACTTTATATATTATATGTTATTAACTAACTTAATATGTGTATAAAACTATGAAAATACAGACATATCAGATTTTCAAAATGTTTATGAAAAAGTTCTGATAGGTATAATGAAGAAAGCCTCACTTTTTTTCTGTGTAACTTTTCCATAGTTGAGATATTACTGTATCCATGACGTTCTTGTAGTTTTCCTGAAGGTTAGAATATTTTATTCAGTGAAGTTAATTACTGTAGTTAAGTCAGGGAAATACTATCTCAAATGATTCAGATCCTAGTGTTAATTTATTAAAGCAATATGACCTTTCATCAGAAGTTGTTTAGAAACATCTTTCCTTTCATCAGAAGTTGTTTAGAAACATCTTTCCTTTCATCAGAAGTTGTTTAG